TTAAAAAAAAAAATAAAACAACAAAAAAAAAAACAGATGCAAACTGACCCAGACTCTGTGGTCTGAATTTAGTAGAATTCGGGAAATGATTCGAATCGCTATCTCATAGTAGCGATATCCCGTTAGCATAAACATTAACCTGGAATCTTATGAGTATTTAGCATATTGCTGTGATCAACTAGCAGTAAAATGAAGCCGCGGCGTAGTGTGTTATGAGTTCACTCTGCCGGACCGAAATGTTGGCAAAGAGAATTTTTTACAAATTAAGCGTCTTCGATATGACGACATTCGCCTAAAATATAGCCAGCGATAACGTGGGTTTTGTATCAGGCTAATCCGCGTACCGACACCGCATTCATTCATCGAAATTTTTTCAATCGGATTTCGCTTCGCATTGCTCGCATCTTTATTTGCTTCAATTCAATCTGATCTTTAGCTATTCTCGACACTTAAGAAATGGCTCTAATGATGTCGTTTTGAGTCGACCAGCGAGTTAAAGCTGACACGAGAAATTCACTTTTCTAGACAAAATGGTGAAAGCGAATTCTATTATCCATAGGCCATCCAGAGACCATTGAAATAAAGTTTTATATAGATATTAGTGAGAAGCCCGAAAGAATACTACTCCTTATGATAGGCCGACACGACTTAAAAAAATAGGCCTATTAACTTTCAACGACGCTATTACACGTTTTCTTGCCTTCAATTAAAAACATCTACATATAGTCTATGGTAAAGCACATATTAAGTAATTCTCATGCCCTAATTTCAATAATTACTTTTGTTGATTGGAAGTTTAAAGTTATCGCAATATGATGAATTTTTCATATATGAAGCTTCCCATTACAAATAATTTTCAAAAATACTTAACGCAAATTGAAAATTGAATTTTTTAATTGCATACATAAAAATTCGATTCGTGGGTGTGTACGTTCAGTCATTGGTCCCCGACACCACTTGTGGTGCAGACTATATTCAGTTTCTGCGAACGTATCTAACCCCGAGAAGGGCCTAAGCTAGATCCATCTTTTATTATACCGAACTATTCAGGATTACTTTTTGAATTGATCTAATCCTTACTGTCCGTCAGTCCATGTAAGTCGCAATTTTTAAGATATTTTGATGAAATGTAGTACACTGTCGTGTTTTGATCCAAGCACGAGCGCTATTGAAAACGGTCTGAATCAGTCCTGTTTTCCAAACAAATTGAAAATTCCCTCTGCAATAGTATCCCATATGAAAAATATGGTTCGGCTGCGGTGATTTTTTGAACCTGCTCTCATGTAACCTTTTTTATGAAAACTGATTCTTTATATGTTAAAAAGTATAATTTTCAACATTTCACGATGAAAATTGTTTCATAATAGTAAATCGACGAAGAAATCAAGCTCACCGAATTTGGACCACGTAAGTGTATTTACTGGCTACGAGCACTGATGAGGATTCTTAGGTAATGTAAACTCTTATATGACAAAAAGGCCTAGTAGTTTTATGATGGAAATTTTTTCATGATAGTAGTTCAACATGAAAAATTAAGTGGGCCCATTCGGAACCACATGATTTTGTTTCTTGAACTCGACTCGGTATAAGATTTCTCACGAATAGTAATTTTATGATGAAAATTGGTCCATAGTCTAAAAAATTTACAGTACGAAATTTGGATCGCAGAGGTCTAATAGTTAAACTATAACATGTATAATAATGGGTATCATGAGAAGTAAGCGCTTATTTGGTAAGAAAGTATAATTTCTAATTTTCTAAAACGGAAATTGAAAGGAAATGAAGTTTCCTAAATTTGGACGACGTCATGTGATATTTGGAGTTTCCTTCAATATACGGGCTTTCATGAAAAGGATCCCTTTGCATGTGAACAATATGTAATTTGTAATGAATTATTACCAAAACAGGCGAGTGACTGCGCTAACCAAAGTGGTATAGGGTTTTTAATGGTCGCCTTTGCCGGGCCATATTGTTCTTACTTGATTTAGTAAGACAACGAAGATTTTATTAGTCTAATGGCAAAACTATCCTCAACCTAATTATGCAAAATAGAAAATGAAAGTAAAGTCAACTTACGTCGTGCAACAAATGTCTAAAAATATATATTTAAGTTCGAGTCTTGCTGATTATTATTATCATTATTATTATTATTATTATAAATTTAGCCAGAGAATAAATTCTAAGACTAAAGTCTTAAAGCACTAGCATCTAAGGCTTTCGGCTTTATTAAAAACTCTACCGCACTTGAGATTTAAACCCACGACCATTGAGTTACTCGGCCACTCAGGCGGATTGAGTCTTGCTTTGGACCGGCTATAAATACGCTATGGTCTCGCATGTCCCATTTATATATTCTATTGCTAACTGAATATGTTTTAGGGCGTAGAACACGTGAAAAGTCCATAGTGAGGCAGGGCTCAACATTATTGTTGTAGAGTATAAAGATGCATTAGCCCTTAGAGTTTATGTCTCGTTGGAAAATCATGTGAAAATTTTACAAAGTGCAGATTAAAGATTTCGTTCACATCGAAACGCAAATAAAGAAGAGAAAGTCTGATAATAGTTATGAGCCCTGATTCAAATTCTACAGACTCTTTAATAATAAATTTTTTTGTGAAGCTTAAGCTATTTTTCTATGCAAAATATAAAAAATGTTTTGCAATTGAAAGTGAAAATCATCTTAAAGTGATAAGTGCGTTTTATCCTACATCACTAGTGATTGAAGGGTAAGTTAAGTTTGCGAAGATGTATATAACACCTGAAGGAGTTGAGATAGACCCTTTATCTTATTGTTATATCTAAGCTCGCCTGTCCGTCTACCTGTTTTGTTTTTTGTTCAGCCCAGAGGTCGCAATTTTTTATGAAATTTGGCGTAGTGACGGGCTTTTGGCTTAAGGACAGGCGCTGTTGAAAATGGAAATCGGGTCGAGCCACTTTTTCAACTCCTCGCAATAGACCGACTTGTTTTGAACAAACTGAATAACTATACGATGGTGTAGGGTATTTAATAGAGTTTTTATATGTTTTTTTAAATTTTATATTTAACTTGTTTTATGTACTATAAGAAATTGTTTACGAAATTTAATATACATTAAAGGAACAATATTGTCTTAAGTAACATTAGCTTTAAGATATTATTTATTTATTTATTTATTTATTTTTATTTATTTATTTATTTATTTTTTTTTTTTTTTTGATTTTCCACTGTACAAATTCTGCGAAACTATTTGTAAACATTCTTAAATAAAAAAACAAGCCACAGACTGAAACTCGCCTCTAAGCCAAAAACAACTACACAAACAGCACAAGGAAAAGCAAACATACATACATACATACAGTTATGCATGTATATATACATATATACATGCATACATACATACATACATACATGCATACATACATAAAAACACCCACACGCACAGACAAATTGAAACACTTATACGTGAACGCAGGAAAACAGAGATTAACCAACCAAGTAGGATGAGATAATTACGCACAAATTACTATGGCAGCGTAGTAGTAATAAATACGAAAATTATTAAAAAAAAAAAATAAATAAATAAATAGAAAATTGCCTATAAATGCATGAAAAACACATTTAAACTCTATGAACTCATACATAGAACTAAGATTTTCTTTTAAAATGTAGCAAAAAAAAAAGAAAAAAAGATTAAAAAAAAAAAAAAATTACAAAAATACTTACTTTTATGGGAAATCTTCCAGGATAAGCAATAAAACGCATGCGTTGGAAATTCATTCACAGAAATTTCAACAATTTACACAAACAGTGTTTCTCTGTTGACACTAAAATACAATAGCGAACGATAGGAATGCATGCATGTTTTGAACGTGGGCATAAAAATGGAAAATAGCGGTATAACCTTTACATATATTATTTTACAATAAAATACCATGTTAAGTTAAGACTTTAGTCAGTTGGCTTTAAAACTTCGCACAACGTAAATCTAAAATCAAAGTCGTAAGAACGAATTTGAACAAAAAAAAATTAATTAAAAAATTATATAAAAGTAAAAGAAGCATTATTTATTAACAAACTGAAAATAATATTTATAAATTAATGCAAAATTTTATTTAATTAATTAAAACAAATACGCAAATATTTAGGCATATCTTACACTCGTAAAAGTCGAAAAAAATCAAAATTAACTTTTGCACGGAAATAAAGAAAAAGGAATATATAAGGTGTGTGTGTGTGTGTATGTGTGTGTGCGTGTGTGTGTGTGTGTGTGTGTGTGTGTGTGTGTGTGTGTGTGTGCGTGTGTGTACGTGTGTGTGATTTAGAAGCAATAAAAACCGGTGACATATTTCTAGTGTTGTTCTGATTGTAAACAATCGCGAATATTTGTCATGTTGAATATGTTTTTTGTTTGCATATAAACAGATCGGTTTATGATTTGTTGTCTTTTCTTCTTCTTCTTCTTTTTCTTGATTTAATTTCGGTGCAAAAAATTTCAAACATAACATAAAACATAACCACAAATATTCGTTGAAAATTGCTTGATAAACGGAAAGTGAAATCATATTTCAAAATATCTTGAAAAAGGTACTACTAGCGTGCACAACTCAATTGCGGGCAATTAAATTATCCGATATTGCTTTCTGAAATGTACTTTTGAAATTTTATTTAGACTATTACACTGATAGCAATTATATGGCAAGTACGTATATATGTACGTACATGTATACAAGAAAATAAATTTCAAAATCGCAATAAGGACATAAGGAAATCCTGCGAGCTTTTGCAATAAACAAAAATAACAAACAAATTAAATACAATTGCAACGATTTAACCAACAACAGTGTATCTGTCATCAGATACATTTGCAATAAATATTAATATATTTATTTCTTATTTAACCTTGTACTCTATAATCCGGAATATGCCTCTTATTGCGTTGTATAGATTCGCATAGAGCAGAAATCCTTATTGCACGCATAACTTTTGTTGCTGGTATTGTTGTTGTTTGTTTTTGTTTTTTTTTTTTGTTTTGTTTCTGTATTTTTCCCATTTATATGTATGCGTATATGTATGCGTAATTTCATTTCATGTAAGCGGGCTGGGTGTGCTGTGAAATGGACAATGTGTGGCAAAAGCATTTGCTTATGGCCGTTTAATCTTCTCGCGGTTATCTTATTAATATTACTACCACAACAGCAACAACATGTTGTTTGCTATCCACAACATGTTGCCATTTCATCATTATCGCCCTCCATATCATATGCCCCTATCACCGCCACCGACTCTATGGCCCGTTCAGCAACAGCGAAACATTCAACGTTTATTGAAAAACGTGAAGTCAATAACAACAAATTAAATGCAAACAGTCGTGCATATATACCATATGAAAATGATAGAAATTCAATTGATGATGCCTATCTGACTGGTAAGTATATATATATATATATATATATATGTATATATATTTGAATAAATAAAATTATTATAAAAGCATAATGTTGATTAAAAAAAAAAATAAATAAACATAAAAATAAAAAAAGTAAAGAAGTAAAGAAAAAATTATTTGATTTTACTTTCCACCGTGATATGACAACTTTCTGATTTAATTCGATATTTTATGTATAATTAAAAAATTAAAAAAAACAATTTTTTTTAATTTTTTTTATTTAAATGCTCGCTCACAGTAATGCGCTAATTAAGTAAATTAAAAACTTTACAAGGGCAATAAAGAATTTTAACCTGTTTACATTTAAATCGTAATAAGAGAAATCATTTTTGTTTTTAATTTTAAAGGGATGTATAAACAAATTTTAGAAGAAAAAAAAAATAAAATTCTCTTTTCTTTTAAGAGGAAATCAATTATTATTTACAAGAAATCAGGAAATTCGACTGTGATAAAAAGCTAAGCCCACATGCTAAAGACAAAATATTATAAGAGCTTAGGGAAAAGTGTTCCATTGATATGATCTCTTAAACGGAGGCTAAATCTAGGGAAGCGGACGACTTCATTGTCAAGATTTCTCTCACATAAGACTATTGTTCGCTTATTGACACACACCCAACCATTAAACTTTGTTTCACTAATGTCCCTGAAACTGAAGTCACCAAGACACCATGTGCGAAGTCGATTCGACTAGTGGTGGCGAATTCAAATCTCACATGTGTGGTAGAGTGTTCAATAGAGACGAGCATATATGATCTAAACTATCCGGCAGTCTTTAAATCCATACTTTGTACGCTTGCTAAAGCTTCAACTTGAAATTATTTTTATATCAAGTACTTAGTGTACTTGGAGTGAAATGATTTTCCCTCTGTAATTCTCCTGTTCAAAAAAAAGGCGATTATTAGACTATTAGAAAGAAAAAAAAAAAAAGAAGAAGACTTTTCACTGTCAGTCTGTTCCATGCAAATTGCACTTAAGCACTAATCACTGAACACACGATCCTAGGAATTAAAACAAACACTAAATTAATGAGAGAAAAAAAAGTCACTTTTATAAAAACTTTTATTACTAACAGACATGGACATGAAACAATTATCAATATATATATATATATATATATGGATATATGCAAATGAATAAGAGGAATATATATCTTTTTTTTATTCTGGCTTAAAACAACTTTTCAATGTAACTGTGCCAAAAGCCACATATCCATTTTCAGTTGATTAGTTTGGTTTCGCTCGTCAAAAAGAAAAAACCTTTATATATTTACATTAGTTACTCTTTTCGAGTATGCACTCTCCACGAAAATCATGTAAAAACGCCTCTCAAAACTTTTAATATAATTTGAATGTAATTTTTAAAAGTTAAAAGGTTGTTTTTTTTTTCCTTTCTTTAATATTTTACCTATTTAATCCGAATTAGTAAATGTTTGTGAGAACATTACCGAATAAGTAAAAAATAAATATCTCTTTCACCATATATGTATTTATACGCCTCGAAGATAGGCAACGAAAACAATTGTATGCAGGCTTACGAAAGTTTACTTTACAATTAGTTTAGGGATTAACGTTATAGAATAATAGTATTCGAATAGGTTATTAAGCTTATATTTAGATATCCAAAAAAATAAAAAATAAAAAAAAGATATATATATATCTATATATATATATATATATAGATATATATATCGACAAATCTGTAAAATAACCGAGTCTGCGGCAAACATTGTGACTGATCAAAAATTTCGTAAAATAAGTAAATCTTTTACTCATTCTAGAGTGAGAGACTCGTAGAATATTTTAAAAGGTATGAGTTTATGTAATATATGAAAGAATTTGCATAAAAATGTCTAACTGTCTATCAAGAAAAGCAAAGCAATCTTCTTTTTCATAAAAAATGTTTAAATTAACTTATCGATAATAAAAGTCGTAATTTATATATCAATAGTCGTGGGTTCAACTCTAGAGTTTTCAATGAAGCCGATTGACATAGATGCTAGCAGTGCTTTAAGACTGTAGTCCTACCATTCATTTCTCCGGCTGCGTTAATAATAATAATAAATGTATTGCTAAAATCAAAATGAAAATAATGAAAATTGTAAAAACTGTAAGAGAAGACGTTTGGAAACATGATGTCTCGAAAGTACATCTCTTTTCTTTGTTATAACAAATTACGTTTTGTAGCAATTTTTGGTATAAGTGTGTTAGTGTGTTATCTGAGAACGATAAAAATACCTCATCCTGTTCAAAACATCTTTCTCATTCTCATTCCTCGCAAGATTTTTTGCTATATCATCTGTCTGTGCTTTTTTTTACCCTTTTTTCTTTTTTTTTTTTTTTTTTTTTTTGATATGGCCAATCACTGAAGGGATTGTGTAACACGATAGCTGTCAAAAAGAAGAGAAGAAAGAAATAAGAAGATAGTGAACCGCAGGCTTGTGGGTGTGTGTGCTCAACCGGTAAGTGTTATTTTCTTTTACGGACTGAGCACTCACTATAGTTACGACCAAAGAAAACATTACCGCACTAGAGATTTCAACTCGCGAACACTGACTTGATGGCTGCGTCGCCTACCTTTCCTACCTTCTCGACTAATCAGTAGTACATAAATGCGAAATGGTAAAGAAAAAAAAATTATTATTCTATAGCCGAATTCATAATTAACATTAAAAATTACGTTGCATACTTCTGTGCGGATGTATGCGGACGCTTTTTCGTTCTTTGCTCGAAAGTGCTTGTAATGAATGGACATAAAGGCTTCTTAAGGATATTTTTTTAATGCTTATAACACAAGTTAAAAACCAAGATGTAAGATATTAACCATTAGTTCACCAGCAGGGATTTATTTCACACAGACATCGAACGTTTGGGAAGGGACTTCAAATTTCAAAGTAAAACTTTCTTTTATGTAATGAACTTTTTACCCCGTATTCTCGAAAGTTTAAAACAGGATTAAGGGAATAATAAAAAAAAAAAAAAAACAAAGTTTATACGGTGGCGATAACATTTAAAAGTCATCTTAATATTTAATACCATTTATTGAAGGAGAATTAGTTTCCTATTCATAGAAAGTGAATGCAGTCCTGACAGATGGCGATGAGTTTTAAAGCCGGCTTAATTTTGACTGGCTACCCGCCAGTTTGTTATAGAAGTTTCACAAAAGCTTTTAGAAAGTTATGTGCAGAGAGAAGCGTAAAAACCTTAAATGAAATGATTAGAAATTATCGCATGGTTCGATTGGTAGGAGTTGATTTTTGGTTAGCTTTAAAACTCAAAAGCGATCAATTTTTTGAATTTAAATATTTTAAAGTTTTTCATTGGTGCAAAAAAAACGCGTTTGCACATAAAAGCAAGACTAAAAGCCAAAGCTTGTCTTGGTTCAATGTATTTACACTACATATATACTAGATATGAACACCAAATTGAAATTTGTTGATTTTGTTGCGAGTGATTTACATAGGTGCCTGCTTATATCTGCAATCAAATTTCATATTGGAAATTAAAAGAAAATGAAGTCCGCGAAACGTGTACTGTATGTGGTACTACATGTTATTCTCTCTCTCTCTCTCTCTTTCTCTCTCTCTCTCTTTCTCTCTCTCTCTCTCTCTCTCTATCTATCTATCTACCTATCTCCGTCGTCTGGTTTTCTCATTTCCGCTTTTTTCCAATGCGGCACATTGTACTCTTGCTGGCATGCAGTGCAATGTAAACGCTAGAGGACATTAGACAAACATACATATATTTGGTATATTTGGCATTTGATATTGAACGACTACGCATATATATATGTGTCATTGCAAACGAACTAATATCCGAAAAAGCAAAATATTGGCTTTGCCGGTTACATAACACATTAACGGCATCGTCATAATGTGGTAGTAATATGTGGTTGAGCAAATATGTTTATTGCATAAAAGCTCTAAAGCACGTCATAAATTGTTTTACTTTCATTGCTATTGATCAAATGAATAAATATCATATGTATATCAATGATGTACGCCGTGGTTTGGTCTGCGGAATTGTGAGCCTTTACACAGACGCGTTCACAATTATTTTTATCAATTTTCATCATATCCTTCCTTGCACGTTATTAAGTTCATGATTGCGTTTATAAGTGGAAGCATTCTTCATTAATATAAGAGCGATTTGATTACTAGAAGTCTCGAAGATATTTCAAAATAACTTACAGATTATATAAATATATAAATTGAAATTGGGGGCGTATACGTTTTAAGACCTTCGAGCTAATAATCGACTAACTCATGCCTTTGCAATTAAAAAAAAAAAGCACGCAGCTGCATAGCTGAGTAGATAAGTGTCGCGATCACCAAACAGATTTCACTATATTTGATCGTAGTTACAGTGACACTGTTCAGTCGGTATGAAGGCACAAAACTTATCGATTGGACTTACAGGCACAAGACAGCGACCACTATATACACATCTTTTCTCTGACCATCATGAGGTAATACATTTTGATCAACAGCATATGTTGGTGAAAATGATAAAGCAGTGCAATGTATTGATGATTTTCACCTTTCTCTATATAAAATAACGGCTTTACATATACATAGACAGACGCTAATGATGAAATTGCCCGAAATTGCAGTTTCGACAGTCATTATTTTTGTGATTTGATTCGAAGAAATCTGCTAACGAAAGCCTAACAAACACTTTTAAAAGCTTATGGTGATGCTGCTCCATCGTATCCGAATTGTCGGCTTTAGTTGCAACGCTTTAAAACAGATGATTTTAATGCCAATGACAAAGAACGGTTTGGAGGATCAAAACAGTTCCAAGGCAAAGAATTGCAAAAGTTATTTGGATGAGAACCCGGCGTAAACTCTCAAAACGTTTTCGAACAGCTAAGCAGTTGATGAATCAACGAGACGTCTACCTGCGATGTGAAAGATTCAAAAAGAGGCAAACACGATGTCTCATGAATTGATCGAAAATGCAATTTCGAACCATTGCAACATC